GTGCACCGGACCACGCTTGATATTTGGGGAAATCGACGGCGCATTTGGAGTATGCATTTGAAGTACACTTCGAATTGGGACAGCCGTCGTCGCGTGGCGGTGACGTAATCGCACTTAAAATGCGTACTTCAAGCGTGCAGACCCTGAATTGGGACACAGCATGAATTTGCTCATCTGCAAACACACACATGAACCTGAGTGAGATCCCATTCTTAATCAGCTCACCTGGGAACCTTGCTTTCCACAAGGTGCAGGTATGTGTTTATGGGAAATTTGACCATTCTGACCATTTGTGAGGTCAGAAACTGATGTTGAACCAGACGCCCGAATCACAATCTCTGCTCTAATTAATTCCTGAGGTGTTTGTTCATTCAAGTTCTTCCACACCAAACTGTCTGATCCATGAACAGGGAGGGGTCGTACCCATCACTGGGAGCATGAAGCTGAAATCCATGAAGCTCTCTTCACACTGTTCTTAAGGTAATATTACGGCCACAGTTTTGGAGGTTTGTTGGCAGCCTCTTTCATTCCTAATCACGTCCACTTCATTATAACTGTGTCAGTTGGTGATATCCTCCTAAGACCCAGCAATTAATTTTTGTCCTCCTTTGGGGACACGAGTCTGACACTACTACATCATGCACCATTTATATGACTCCTGCTGTACTGTCAGGGGGCATCCTGGCTTTTGTGTGGGCAAACAGAACACATCAGCTTCCATATTTTATGGCCATGAGAGATTAAGTGATAGTTCTGTTTTTTTGTAGATTATTATTACTATTACTTAAACTCAAATTGTTTCTTCTTTAATTTGAGCGTCTTAACTTGGATCTAGATTTCAGAAATGCGTAGTAATTACAGGCTTTCCAAAACAAAACTTTTATTCTGTGTTCTTTTAAGTCGACAGAACTTACTACCTCATAACCAATTCGAACAGTGTCTGTACTTGAGGAAGTAGAGGGCAGAATGAGGCAGAAAGGATTTTACTCAGAGCTGTCGAAAAGGAATCAGTCAAACGATGAAGGGGAGGAAGGCCAGACATCAGAGAGGGAAGGTGAAAGCTAAAAGGAGGTGATGCACCTACCATCCAAAATAAGAACTGTTAAATGTAGGGCTCTGAAGTTTTTAGGCACAACAGTATCAAACAAGCCAACGTGGCCCACAACCACCAAACACGTGATTCTCTGACTACATCAAACAGAAAATAGGCAACACTTTGAAATAAATTCTTCAATATTATCAAGTCCATTAAGGTAACAAATGAGAACAAATGTCCTCAACAAGGCTACCAAGGAAAGATGGTTCCCTTCACAGGCGATATCCTGTCTGGAAGTTGAGAAACCAAACCTCGTAACTTCAGAGCTCATACATCTTGTCCCTAATAGACTGTGGGTGTCATCATTTTGCCTGTTCTCAGGCTCCTCAAACGCAGGCACGTCCTTTAATCTTTTTGTTTCTTCCACAGTTCTGAATAAAATATTTTTCAGCTTCACTCAGCTTCATATTCTGTGGTCAAACAAGCTGATGTCCACTTCAAGGAACAGAATATTACAAAAAAAAATGTTTCTTTGAAATACAACAATTAAATTATCTAAAAAAATCTAAATATCAAAACATGTTGGGGGTGTCTCGGGAGGAGTGTTATGAACTGCTTGGCCTGCTGTGATCTGATTCGAGGCAGTTTATACCTCAGTATATTTCTGAGTGCTAACTATAATGTACAAAGCAGCCTGCTAACTAAACTCACTAGCTTTAGCTGATAACTGAGCCGTCCAACCTGTCGATCAAATATGGTTGTTTCAGAGAATAGTTTTAAAATGGACATGGTTTCATGTATCTACTAATTCTACGTCATTTAAATCTGCAGTATTTCTAATGGCTAGCAGGGCATCCTCGGGTTGCATGAATACTGCATAGAAGTCTGATTGTGTAGGTCTGTGAGCTCAGTAAAAAGAGTTTTAAAGACATTTTTCATGAAATAAAATGTTGAGTCTATGAAGATGTTCAATATGTTCAACTTGAAGAATATGATCTAACGATGTACACAAGCTTGTATAACAAGCTTTAATTCTTAAATTTAAAGATGAAACAATTGTTTTGTATTAAGTAAGAATAGTCACAAATATGGAGGCTGATATTTGCACAGATGCAACAGCAGCTGTAAACTTACAGTTTGCTTTGCACTCACTGCATTTTCTGTTTCATTATTATAAATGTAACAATTTACACATAAAGTTCTTTGATCTTTTTACTCAGGACATTTTAATGCAGCACAGAACAACCAGCTGCTGTAAAATGTTACAAACAAGGAGGCAAAAAGACGTAGGAGAGTTAAAGATTTTTTTAATTATTTAGTACAAGAAAACAAACACAACAGATGCACACAAAGAGCGTGATCTACTACAAATTTCCGACAGAATACAGTTTCAAGTAAGATCGTAGCCACATATACTGCAGCTGCTCTGCCTGCTCGGTAACATCTGGAGCAACATGAGGAATTCTCTGTGAAATGTCCTGTCAGGGCTGTGAGAGTGGCTGAATAGAGATCGCTGGCGAGGTGGGCATGACAGAAGGTAAATCACACCACCTACCACTGCTTCTTACTCTGACCTGTACCGCTCTTGTCCACTATGTACAACATGGAACTTCAATACTGAAAACGAGCTACAAAATGAGTCACATTACAGTATTTGCGAAAATTCAAATAAAGCTTTATCCTAGATCGGGAAGCAAAGTTTGACTTTCTGGTACCTTCTAGTACCAGAAGCTGTTTTTAATGGAGTGTAATTAAAAGGAATAAAACACACACACACACGTGTTTAAACACCAATAAAAAGTATGAGCAGACAGAGGTGACAACATAGTTACTGTCCTGAATTTAAGAAACAGGTTTAACTTTGTTATTTATTTATGTGAAAATGTTTCACCTCATTTTATTTTTACTTGTTTACATTTTTCAACTTATTTGCCATCTTCCATATTTATATTGGAATTAAGTGTGTAATAAAGAAATTTCCTCAGCATTAATAAAGTAATTTTATTTTTTTTATTAGACTGTGCTGATTACATGACACGACTGTGGTATCATATAGACCAGCGGTCCCCAACCCCCGGGCCTCGGACCGGTCCGTG